AAAGGAAATAAATCAACCTACCAATTAACCAAAAATAACAATCTAAATAAATTATAATTTCCATATTATATGACTTTCTACATTCCCACAACTTTCAACCCCACATTTTGAAAACTTCTACCAAAATCTACAAAAAATCTAATTTTAATCACCATCAAACAACCTCTTAGTTGTTTTTTCCTTTTTATAAGGTTTTCCTTTTTATCTTAGGCTAGAGGAGGAAAGCTGGAGTCTTAAGAATTTGGATGATATGTTGGACTAGACCTATCTCTAACCTTACCTAGTGATGTTCGAAGCCCTGCCAACCAAAATTTGAACCAATTTTTTCCTCTTAGCTATAATCTCACTCAACAACTTGTTTACCTTCTTTTTCTCACTTGATGCCGTGATGATCTAGCTAAACCTGTAATATGCTGTTGTCTTAACAGGCGGAGCCCCCTGCAATTGTGATTGCAACCTTGGGAAGTCTATCCCAAATGCTTGACAAGCAAATTTTCAAGTTGGATGCCATGCGAGTGTTGGTTATTGATGAGGTGATGAAGATGCTCTTGTCAAATCTTTATTACTTTTATTTCCTATATTATCATATGCTAAATAAATATTTGTAAGTTCACATATAGCAGGCAAGATGCTTTCGTCATACCACCAAAACAGAAGAACAAGGCTAGACACTTCTGAAAGAATCTGATAGTTTCTGCTGATAATAAAAATTTTTGGACCTATACTTATGTTCTTGAAACACAAATGTTTTGATGGAAATTATTTTCACTGAAGCTTCTAATCTAATTGTATACTATATGTTACATGGTGTATAACAAAGTTTTGAGATCGATGAATTGGCATTCAAGTGCTTTTGGCTTAGAGAAGGACTTGGGACACGGAAACAATACCAAACTGGCTCGTAGATATGTCCTTTTTTCCTACAATATTCTGCCCTATACCCATGTCTACTATATCATGCATGGGAGGTGCATGTTTACATCTGAGCAATGTTGAATTTTTACATATAAGTAGTGCTGAAATTTAGATCAAGTTCTAATTACTTTTTCAAATTCAGTGCTACTTGGCACACTAAAATAATATTCATATTGGGAGAAATAACTCTCTAGTCATTTGTTCATCATAGATCAGTCTTGCAGTTCAAGTAGTGTCTGATATTTTGAGTTTTTAACTTTTTTATTTTTGCGCACAGACAAATAGTGCAGGACGCTTGTTCTAGGTGAGTATTGGTATATTACAAGAACATGTAGCCTTCTTAAGAGTGCCCATGCTTCTTCCACTTCATTGAATTTCTTATGCTTATTTGGTCTTTTATCTGCGATATCCAAGCTTTAGTGCCATTCTTGGACCATTGGAACAGATATAATATTATATGCTTTGAATGATTAGGTTGATTTTATGTTCAACTCTTCGAAACAAGTTAGTTCTCTGCGGAAACTTTTGACCAATTACTCATCAATTTATATGCGTCAAACCATATTTGCTAGTGCTTCAATTCCCCAGCACAGACGATTTCTGTACGACTGTAAACAGCAGAAATGGACCAAGGTTTGCTAAAATTTTAATTATCTGAGAATTTGTCACTGAGTCTGTGTCATCCTGTACTAACTGTATGATATCTATGCTGCCCCACTGATTTTCACAGGCTGATGTTGTTCATGTCCATGTGAATCCTGTTGAACCTATGCCATCATGCTTGTATCACAGATTTGTGGTGAGAAGATATTATGCGGAGGAATTGACATTCTTGTTTGCAAGTTTGAAACTACAATCTTTGCACGTTCTATTTATCATTAATTTTTGCCTCGGTTTTTCTGTGAAGTTAGCTTCTTTATTTGGTAATATCATCTTGAAGTCTAACACTCCCCTGCACAACCTTTGTGATGAGGAAATCATCCCAAGTATTTTACTTCGTGTTTTATTTATTGTTGTCTTTTTTTTCATTGGGCTTGTCTAGTGAGTCTAGCCCAAGCCCGTGATATTAGGTTTTTTTACTTTTTACTATTTATATGTTGGAAACTGGAATTGCAAGACAGTTTGATGATTATGATGAATTGAAATTGGTTGTGGCGTCTCCATCCTCTCCCTTCCCCTTTCCCCCTAAATTTTTGGTTCTCCTCCGGTTTCTCCCCCCTTCTCTCTTGTCCTTCCCCTCTTTCTTGCTGTTTTCTTATTTTGTCCTGCATTATTTTGTCATTATATTGTTTTTTTTTTTTGTTTTTTTTTTTATCTAATGTTTTAATTCTTTTAATTTATGCTGCCAGGTATGTGGTAAGACAGAGAGGTATTCATCATTGCTACATCTATTGCAGTCAGATACACCTCAATCTGCCATAATTTTTGTTGGAGAGCAAGTTAGTTCCTCTTATCACCCTCAATTGTTTTAACTGGACTGTAATCATTTTAGTTTTCAGAATAGTTATACCCAGAAAATTGAAATAAACTACAATACTGGTCCACTATGGGAAAGTAGGTCTGAAATGTATGCATTAACTCTCCCCGGAGATAGTTACTAGCTAGATGCCACTGCTCGCAGTACAGCAATGATAAAACTAGTACCATTTTCTTATCATCATAAAATCAATGGTCCACATGCATGTTTTGTTGGAGAAGTATCATGATTTAACCGTCAATTCAGATAGTAAGATGCTCTTGCTGTTCTGGAATGTTGATGGAATGTTGCTTTCTGATAATATGAGCCAAATAATATTCATATGTGAGGCTGAAAAGGTGTACCTATACCTAGTTGCTTAACATTTCTAGGTTTATACAGATATTTGATCGCTGGCCTCCATGTTGCAGTCTAAAATTATTTTTCCCAGTACACTCTTATTGAACTCTGATCCACATTTTTATGAGTCTTACTTTTCTTTTCTTTTTAAAATTTCCTGTACTCTATGATGAGTTAATTTTCTATCTGTCATATGCAATCTTTACTAGAAGTTTTGTACTACAAGTCTCCTTCTTGGGGTAGTCCAGGTTCTGATTTGTCACAAGATCGATTATGCTCTTGGACATCGAATTAGAGTCACAAATCAGTTTAGATTCTCTATTCTGATCTTCAAATTGAGAAAATGTGTAATGTTTGATTTTCAACCTGTAATTGAATTTGGGATTTTGGCATATTAACATCATCTTTCAATTGATATGCAGTCTGAGAAGTCAAAGAATGCTGGAAATCCAGCACCCACGACTCTTCTAGTTGACTTTTTGAAGACTTCACACATGGGATGCTCGGAGATAATTTTACTGGAGGAAAAAATGAATTTCAATGAACGAGCAACATCCTTAGCTGTAAGTACCTTAATGGACTTCAATGAATTTCTCCTCTGCGTGCTTGGTAAAGGAAAGTTAGTGATTGTATGCATTAAGTGGTCTGTGTTGCAATATGCCAGCACGAGTTTCCTCTGTCCAATTTATCTATTTCTTTCATATAGGATGTTAAACTAGGAGGCGGCTATCTTCTAGTTGCAACAGATATAGCAGCTAGAGGTGTTGACCTGCCAGAGACAACTCATATATACAACTTTGATCTACCAAAAGATGCAGTGAATTATCTTCATCGTGCTGGAAGAACAGGTAGGAAGCCATTCTCGGCTAGTAAATGTTTTGTTACCAGCATTATAACATCAGAAGAACGTTTCGTATTGCAGAGATTTGAAAATGAATTGATGTTTCATTGCGAAGAGCTATTGTTGTAAATGAAATTTATCTTTCTCAATTTTGTACTAAATTTAGTTATTCTGTTCTTCTTCACTTCCAGTTGTCTCTGTCTCTTCTATCTTTGTTCTTAGCATTGGTGGCGATTGTGAAAATTAATTTTTTGACCGTTAAAGAGAAAAGTGAAT